CCCTGCCAATAACTTCTGCACACTGGACGCGGAAACGCTTACCGCGCGGCAAAATGTAATGCGATAGTCATCAATACATGAGGTCTGTTCTTTTTGGTTGAACTTTTGCACCAGTTCATTCATCTTTCTTCCTCTTCTTTCCTCCTGGAGAGAAAAGGAAGAAAGATGAACTGGTGCAAAAGTTCAGGTCAAAAAGAACAAGCCTATGATGTGTTCAGTTGATACTGTTTCTCTCTCTAAAATCTACGCTCTCTGTCTATGGGCTGTTCGCAGTTACCCTATGTACAAACTGTGAAACGCAAAACATGGGACAATATTCATAGTTCGTTATTATTTTTAAACCATCTTAAATATAATGTTTTAAGACGTTAATACAGTCCTCGGATTGACTCACGACATTTTAAGATTGGCTTAAAACAGTCTTAAATGTAAGAATCGACTATGAATACCGACCTGTTTCGCGTCATGAAGTTGGTACTAATAAATCTTTTCTTAGACGAGGAAAGCTTTAGTACCAACTTCATAACGCGAAACAGGTCGGTATTCATAGTCGATTCTTATAGCGTTTTTAATTGGCAAAACTAGGCTGTTTTACACTATTCTAATCTAAATATAAAAATGAGATATCTCAATTGAAAAATTCCTAAAATTTATTTTACCAAATAGCACAATAAAATGTATCGAATATTTCACGCGTTTCCGCGTTCAGTAGAGAATAGTCCACACTGTCCACAGTCGTGAGTTTTAAGAGATCGCCCGATCGGGTCGGTAATGTGCGTTTCGAGTATTGTGATAGTCTTGATCTTGATGAGAGATCGTCCGCGCGGGTCGAAAACGTGCGTTACGAGTGTTGCATCACCTTATATTTGCGACGCCAAAACGTCACAGTTGCAAGCGCCCAGTGTCTAGAGAGATCGCCCGAGCGGGTCGGAAACGTGCATTTCGCCTCGTTTTGAGTGCTACATCACATACCGTTTTCGCCTCATACGATACCAGCGATCAGCTATCCATAACTACGAAATGTAAGTATATACATATTTGTCTCGAAAAATCACGACCAGAAGGTCCATTGATCATACAAATAGTAAATATTTTTCCTTTTTTACATTACAGGAATGACCCATCCTCCGGACCACCATCCTCCGGACCACCGCATACACAGACAGAGATTACATCGAGACGTAAGTACAAAAAAATGCAAGTGCTTCGAATTTTTTGATGAACACAAAAAATGATATTTTTTATTATACTTACCTATATACAATTATTTTATATACTTACCTATATACAATTTTATTTTTTTCAGCACCACGATGGAAAAGAGATGGAAAAAATAGGAACCGTGGTCGTGGTCGTGGTCGTGGTCGTGGTGGAAGTCAAGGAGGATCATCGATCATTTACATAACCATGTAAACATAAAAAAACGTAAGTACAATTTCTCATGTACATTATAAAATCAATTAAAATTATGATTATTTTCGGTTCCCTTGACGTTGGAAATTAATGATTGCGTATTTTCAGATCTGCAGCAACGACAAGAAACTCCACGAGGCGAACCATGAGTAACTTCATAATATTTTAAGGGCGATTGTTAAGAACGCTGATTAACGTAATCAACGATTAACTCAATCAGCAGACTTGCTATTATAGTAATAATCAACGATGTGCTCCAACATGCTCCTATTTCTCTAACCGTATCTCCTACTCACTCTAACGAGCACGTTAGAGTGAGTATAGGAGCTACGGTTGGAGGAAGTAAGAGCATATTGGAGCATGCGATGCGAACAAACTTAAAGTTAAGAACGATTACAGATCTGCTGTTGGCTATACTGCTGATTGAGTAAATCGTCGATTCAGTTAATCGGCGTTGGTAACAGTCGCCCTAAGTAGTGTCAGTTTTACTTTTTATATTTTTATATACATTACATATTACATTACTCTGTAATTATAATTATACATTTATAGTGTATTCTGTGGACTGTTAGCAACGCCGATTAACTTAATCGACTGTAATAAAACAAAATTTGATATTCTAACTTTTATATTATATATTGTTTAATCGGCGTTGGTAACAGTCGTTCTATGTATTGTGAAGTAATCTTGCGCTGAATTAATTGGCAATTACAAACTTTTTATTTTTTACATTCTTCATATTACTGTAATATCACGACGACGAGATAAGAGGTTTGTTCGCGTCGCTTGCTTCAACATGCTCCTACCTCCTCTAACCGTAGCTCCTACTCACTCTAACGAGCACGTAGTTGAATGAGTAAGAGCTACTGTTGGGAGGAAGTAGGAGCATGTTGGAGCATGCGACGCGAACAAA